CTGTAACACGATTCACCGACTGCGGACAAAAGACAGCCCAACTATTTTAAACAGGAAACATACTAACAGCCAGATTCTGGCTTCGTATTCTGATATCATAACTCGGTAACTCGATAACTACACTTCCCGACGGATATTTACTTAAGTCGTGAGTTTCAAGTGCTGACCTACCTCCTGTTTCCCTCCATTCACTGAGGTTTCCGGGTGAATATCCCAAGGGCTGTACGGGTATATTTATCAAAGTCAAGACCATGTCCCAAATACTCGACAACCGGATGCGCCCTCACATTTATAAGCATACGATGTCAATGTGTCAGTGAGTTAGGTTTGACGCCTTTATGGACTGTTTTTCAGTTATATCATGGCGTGTCAGTTTGAGTTTGTAGTGGTGCAGGCCAAACCTGTTGCCATCTGAGTGTTCCAAAGAGAGGGGGTAGGACACAAACCAAGGATAATAATCGGGACGAACCTGGGATGCCCTCCATATTCATACAAAAGTCGGGTTAGATTGATCCTCATGGAACCGCCTCCGTGGTCTAGTGGTAGAGCGTCCGCCCGGAGAGCGGAAGGTTCGGGGTTCGATCCCCGGCCGCGTCATACAAAAAGACGTTAAAAGATGGTACTTGTTGTTACCCTATCTGGCGCTCGGCATTGGGGAGCTTAAACAAGGACTGGTCGGCTCGGAGACATTATAGTATACTGTGTCTGAGTGGGGTATTCATGTTAAACTGCGACATGGTATCTCAGTGAGCTAGCACTATAAATCGGCATTCGTTCGGACTAGTACAAGCAGCCACACACACACGTGCATGCACGTCGCTGTATAAGTGCAATTATCTTGGACGCGACGTTAAACCTCGTTTCAATTCACCTCACCCGATGGTCATGGTGTCAATCACTGGATTGTCTAATTACAGACCGACGTCATATAGGTGGAGCATTGCTGAGCGCGGCGTCAAACAACAAACTTAAGAGAAACTGTTTTCTTAAAAACAGGATGACCGTTTACTCCAAAATACTTATAAGTACATTAAGTTTGGAAGAATTAAAGGAATTACTGTTACTAATAAACAAAGACAACCAAGAAATTTACAATTATGAATACACGAACATATCGTTATATATCAAGATCTGAATATAACTAATATTTATAGGTTTCGCTTGACCATAGTAAAGTTCCCCTCTTGTGTACATAACCGTTATATATATAAAATAATCGCAAAAAAATCACGTGTTAGCACATTCATATGGTATTAATAATAATTGTAAGCTTAAAGGGTAGAACCACTTTAAAACCAAGACGCACCACTTTTCACTTGTGACCAACATACAGTGTTTACACAGCTTCATAAGACACACGCCTTGCAGGTTAAATGCAGTGTTGACATCCGAGTTTGGGAACCCCAAGATTGCGAAAGATCCGGGTGGCACGTGCTGTTTGGCGCTTACATTGTACGGAAGGTAGGCAGGTTTGTTGACAGGGGAACACCCAGGTGGAACTTGACACTCCCCTTAAGAACTAGAACTGCGCCGGGTCACGGAATGAGCTTTTCTGAATGTATATTTGATGTTAACCCAAGACACCCTGTATTGTATCCTCTGAAATGTAGCAACGTCTTCATGACGGCGACTTTATTGCTGATTTCGTATTTTTACATGTTTGCTGGATGCAGATTGTGTGGAGGGTGCTACCGGTCGGGCAGGACAGGCTCAACCTTTTCAGGAACACTTGGTGTCACTGGATTTTCACTGCTAGTTTGCCTTTTATGCCCAATGGAATCGGTTTCGACGGATAATCGAGACTGGTTATTCTCTGGCGTTGACGTTTTATATTTGATGAATTAGCATATTTCAATTTGATATTCTTGACAATGTTTCTTTGTTTGTTGTTTAACATAGTGAACAATATTCCAGCAACATCACGGCGGCAGGTATATAATCCAACTTGACGAGACAAGCCATGCATGTACGATATTCCGAAATCACGTGCTCCATAGTCTGACCACCCGATCCACTTTGTCACCTCTTACGAAAAGCATAGGTTACTGGGGACCAATTTTAACTTGGGATCGCCACGGGGATACTTCACAAAGTGTTAGTCTTACATTTTGTTTGAAACATTACATAAGACTACCAATACAGTTTTGTAATAAAATATAAAGATAGTATCAACACTGATTTGACGCACGGGTACTTTGGCTTGTATGGAGAGTGTAATATGACACATAACCATATTGTATTTCAGGAACGCGCTGCGTATCCAGCATTTTTTTTAAAAGGGAGGCGTCTAAAACATCATAATCCTCTCTCAGATAATTTTACTGCCTACGGCATACATGGTTTTCAAAGGGTGTGTGTGTGTGGTGGTGGTGGTGGTGGTGGGGGGGGGGGGGGGGGGGGGGGGGGATCTGGACCCGCCTATGAACTGCCATCTATAATGTCAATAGTAGAATAAATAATACGAGGCTGTGACCTTCTCCTTTCACAACTATGGTTTCGTACTCTAAGAATGCGGAATAATTAGCAAAAACAAATACTTTATATTAATTATATTTCTAAAAGAGCAAATAATGGATTTCTTAAGTTGACGAGCAGGGGAACAGGCCCCCAAGGACCCTGCCATATATTGATTGGATGCCGACATATTGCATTTCATTAATATAAGGGATACAAATGTCATCAAACTTGCTCGCGGCATATTCTACTTGATGGGTACTCGTGTGAAGAGCGTCGTCAACACCTGATGACGTCACGTTATAAGATCATTGCTACCGTTAGATGCGGCGTGAGATAACTTCAACGCATTACTTAATATATTTCAAAATGCAATGGCATTGAATTTAACAGTAACAGGAAGTGATTGAAATTATCAAAATAGTTGATGTTGTCATGCAGCAGTATTTTTTTATGTAATGCTTTCAACTAATTTAGTTGTGACAACAGGAAAAGGGAAGAGTTAGTTGAACCTTCCAATGCTGTGTGTGCATGTGAAGAAATCATTCCCACGTTGACAGTTTCATTAAGGATGGAAAGGTGAAGTAGAACATTTGAAATGATTTGTAATAAAATGTAATTGACTATATCAGTAGCGCATGTTGGCGTATTTCTTAACTAAATAAAGTCCTTTTGTAAAAATTCATTGTAAAATATGAGAGTACTTATTTTAGGTTTCAGGACATTCTTTGTATCGGGATTGCATCATAGAGTGGACAAATTATGTAGAGGTCATCAGAATGTGGAACCCTGTTTAGTTGCACGTGCAATGCACGCAATTATAATTATACTTATGAATACCCTTGTGAACCCCCTTTATACGGTAGACCCTGAATGCAATATGTTAAGAGACCCGCGAAGATCCGGGTTAGAACAGGTCTTCAGCAACCCACGCTTGTCGTAAGAGGCGACTATGCTTGTCGTATGAGGCGACTATGCTTGTCGTAAGAGGCGACTATGCTTGTCGTAAGAGGCGACTAACAGGATTGGGTGGTTGATTGGTCGATGAATGTCATCGCATCCAAATTGTGTAGATCGATGTTCATGATATGAATCACTGGATTGTCTGATCCAGCGGTCATATACATTGAATATTACTGAATGCGGCGTTGAACAACAAACAAACAAACAATTTGTAAAGAACCATAAGAAAGTGGAACCCCGTTAATTCGTTCCTTTAAAAGACCCGTTATGTTTCAGCATATTTAACAGTAGTCAGACTCCGGTCTGGAACTGTGGCCTCAGCGCATTTATCATGAACACGCTTGCTTCCTTTAAAAGACCCGTTATGTTTCAGCATATTTAACAGTAGTCAGACTCCGGTCTGGAACTGTGGCCTCAGCGCATTTATCATGCACACGCTTGCTTCTGTCTGTAGGGATGTTTTGTTATTATTTACTCTATTTAAAATAATAACAACAACAATATCGTTTCGGTTTTTATCAATCAAGGTTTCTTTTCTTAATATATTTTTGTAAAGAAAAGTATCAAAACGTACGAAAACCTCGAAAGTAGAAACTATTTTCATATTTTACAGTATTTCTATGTACGATCAGCTTTTTCTTTCGCTTCTGGAAACGATAAAAATATGTTCGCCCACAAGGAAATGTCATCGCAAACCGGCAAAACGTGCTTGGCATCAAATGACATTTTTTAACAATCAGTAATGTCATGGCAAAAATGTTTGACGTCAATTAAATTTAAACCACAACTGTAATTTTGTTAGCACAGCTAAACTTTCGACATTTTATATCATAAGTTGTTCTTGTATATATGTTCTTTGGCTCAATTCTTAACGGAAACGTTTTAGATCATAAGTTGTTCTTGTATATATGTTCTTTGGCTCAATACTTAACGGAAACGTTTGATATCATAAGTTGTTCTTGTATATATGTTCTTTGGCTCAATTCTTAACGGAAACGTTTTAGATCATAAGTTGTTCTTGTATATATGTTCTTTGGCTCAATTCTAAACGGAAACGTTTTTAACCAGTTCTTTAACTTTTGTGATTTCGAGAAGCGAGTATTCTTAGCATGCTCTTAAAAATACTTATCAGTCTTTGTTTTTCCAATATGAAACGTTTAATCCAACATTAAAACTTATGCCAAATCATGAGAAAAAACTTTAAAAAGTGAACTGCAACAACACAATTGTTTCCTTAAAAAAACATTGAATCCTTCAATTCAACCTTGTGGCGTTAGACAGAAGAGGGTTAAAAAAGCGAAACATCTCTCTGGTATGAACCGGGTGCGATATTAACGTTGGAAATTGTGCACCCGTTAAGCTGAGTCAAATGTTAAGACAGCTTTTCAGCTTATCTCAGATCCAGACAAGAAACTTTTAAAGAAATGCATCTACGGAATTTAAAAGAAAAAGAAAAAAAAAGAGTACCGGCATACACGTCTTCATTGACCAGAGAGGGTTAAAGACAAGCAGCTGATATATCGGGTATCAACAGGGTGGGATATGATGACCGACAGAAGTATCTAAAGTACAGCGTTACTCACCTCTCGTGCGTTGTGTCCACTCATGTCCATTCCTCGCTTACCGCCGGGTGGGCAGTTCCTGATAAAACAAGCCAAGGTTCCAGAAATGACACAGCCAAATAAAACAACGATGGCAGACACTTGCATTGCGCTGGCAGAGACCATGCTGGGGTTGTTTTGAAGAAAGTTTTTGTTTGGCCGCTGCTCTAAATCCCGCCGGCTTGTCAACGTGATCAATACAAGGTACAGCAAACCTGCTCCGTATTTGTACGGCGTCCAACGCCTGCCGTCACGTGACTTGGTGTTCGCTCCCTCAAGTGGTGAAATCCCTGCTCAATGACAACATTGGAAGGTTCCACCCCGCCCCCACCGGAGGGGTGACAGGTTAGCAGTGTAAAAGAGGGGGGTGGGGGAGGATGCGTCCGTTTTGGGGTTCAGTCTTCAAAAGGAGATATTTTTAAATGGATACGTCTTTGTTTCATGTATGTTCTTATTGTCTGACAGGATGGAAACTCATTTATTTGGGTCAATGGTACAGCATTAAAGGGTTTGTTGTTTTTAAAATTATGGATTATTGTGCGAATGTGGTTAATGTATTAAACAAAAAGCGTTTAACGAAATTTAAACTCACTATTCATTTATAGTATAATCAGTGGAACAGTTACACACAAGATGGTTGTCTTTGATGTTTGGGACAATATTCCATTCGATGTTGGTTTCACTGTGAACCGCACCCAGCTAACACCAAATAACAGTGTATGCGAAGGAATAATAACAAAAATCATAAACTATTAAATCATAACCTCGAAGTAAACTTTAAAAAACACATTATATTCTCCCGAACAAAAAGGAACCGTGTTTGTGTTGAGAAACACATGGAACCATTTCAGGAAACAATAAAATGTACACCAACTCCAAGCTATACATACATGATCATGTAAGGCCCAGTAGTTTAGAAATGTCAATGGTCAATGGTCAATGGTGTTAGTAAAGCATGATAATGATGTAGAGCAAGAATTAATTTGAAACCAGATCGGACACATTTTAACATTTCGTCAGAGAACATGACCAAAAATAGGATCTTATTCATCAAAGATAACAGATAATATCCCTCTGTTTCGCAGTGGACTGGCCTGTCCATGTTATCTCTGTTGACCCCTCCCCCGGTCTGTTTGACTGGTTCTTGGCGGAATTGCGCAAGATCTGTGACTTGTCTCCACACGACATGAACAGTTCATTCATAAATTTAACATAGTACAACTACGACACTGTTGGTAGCTGTGTTGTGATAACTTGGCTGGGGGCGTTGCTAGATGCCACTAAGAGCATGAGGAATTAGTAAGGTGATCTATGCGCATTTGCTTTTTGTATTGCCTTTGTTAGGACAGCTGGTTGCAACCTTACACCTTATATGGTTTCAAAAGAATCAAGTTTATCTTTGTAGACATTAAGGGATGGTGTTTCATTGATGGTTTTGCTCATTTTCCCAAATCCATTATAAAAAAAGTTGTTTATAAAGATGTTAGTCACATAATTACGAAATTAGATGTAGGCGTTATTGAAGCCATGACTTATTTCTGGATAAAATAGTTTTAAAAAACGGTTTGAAATTCAAATTAATAAGAAAAGGACAAAACCAAAAGACTAATTAAAGATATAAAAATGAAACTCACATTTAGGCCCTTCACAGATTTACCAGGCAGTCTATGGATAATTTAGACACCTGAAAACACGAACCAGCTAAATCAAAGTGAAGGTTACGTTAAATGATCGATAATAAATCAAACACTGTGATCGATCCGCATCAGTCCGGCTTCCCTCCCACATAGAGCTGACACGATGAGATATTACTGAAATAGTAAAATAGTTATATAGTGAAATAGTAAAATAGATATAAAAACAGGGATAAACACACCTCATTCACTCACCCACTGTAACAATCACATATCGGTCAACACACTTTAAAATCAAATTTAATCTTTACAACGAATATACAGACTGTGGCACGTGTAACGAGTAGATATATATGAATGCATGAATAGAACTGATTTTAACACATCTCTATTTTGGACATATTCATGATCATTTATAGTGAAATGTCTGGTTAAGAGGCCCTTTAAATAACTAGTTTTTGTCGTGAATAATATTTCTAAGTTTATTGCCAACTTTGGAGTCATATTTCGTTCAGTTATTTGTTAAAGGTGGGGAATATTCTCCAAGTGTTTCTCCGCGAAGTGTACAATTCGGGGATGGGGGTGTCAGCGTGTTCTGGTTACAAACAGATATCCACTGTATTAACCGCACCCTTAAAGGTTATCGAATGTGAAAATGAAATCTCCCCAACCAGTTCTACCCCCACCACTACGATTAAAATTAAATAGGAGTGTTGAAGAAAGTATTACCTGTTGGCGTTAGGCAAATCTTCTGAAAATGAAAGATACCCGTTGTTGTTCTTTCATACAGACCATTCGGGTTCCATGTCCTTGATTTATAGCTCCTTAGTTAGCGTTCCCAATTTCCACCCCTATACCGAAGGGTCACAAACAAAGGACATTGGTGTACATGTGTTAGCATGGGAGCGGCTTCTCTGTCTACCCACATAGGCGATTATGTGACGAGACGATACATTTTTTCCCTTTAAAGAAAAAAAAAATCGTCATCAGGTATATTCAGTTCTTTCGAGTGTCATGTTGAATGAGGCATGCCGATGAAAGTGAGGTATACTGATACAATTAAACATATATTGAAGTATTTAGGGATGAAGGCATACTCAGACACATCAACGCACAAAGGCATACTGAAGCACGAAATAGACATATACAAGCATGAAGGCATACTGAGGCATATGAATGTAGTAAGGCATATCGAGGCACTTTAATGCACCAAGGCACATTAAAGCACATTACAGCACCAAGGCATCCTGAGGATAATAAAATTGGAAAGGCATAGTGAAGCACATCAATTCACGAGGGCATGTCCAAGAACTTGGGGACATTCTAAGGTACAAATAGACATTTTCAGGCATGACTATGCATATTGTGGCTTGCGAATGCATCAGAAGGAAGTATTTAGGCCTGACGTATTTATGTGTTTTCAGATATTCTCAGTTACATTCGGATATATTCAAGAATTACTCGGCATATTAAGTCATATTCATATACAGGTATATTCAAGCATTCTGAGTCACACATCTCCACCCTTTGAATGCCCAAGCGCTTCAGCGCTTTTGTGGTAAACACTTCAGATATAATTACGTGGATCTTAGCAGTACAGCATTAACTATTCGGTTTCATAAAATATAATTTTCAGACACGCAGATGATTGTAAATTTCACAAATACTAATTTCTTTACTTAATTATTAATGATAAACATATTTCTAGATCTGTTTTTCTATTATGTTTTAAGAACATAGAAACATTGCACCACTGACAAAAATAGGCCATGAGGTCACGATGATAGAAATATGTTTTAAAGTGAGTATGGTTTTACACCCCGTTTAGCAAGATCACGGAGGCGAACACTACGAATTGGACTTATATATACATTGTATCCATGCGGCGAATGGAACCCGGGCCTTTGACGCAGAGAGAGAACGGTTTAACCATTAGGCTACCCCACCGCTCCCTATTTTTTGCACTTTCATAATGTTTATTTATGGAATATATGTAAAAAACCAAATGCATACTAATAATACATACAAATGCATACTTGATATGTAGGTTCCAATATTATAGAAAGATACTTTTTTTAAAATATACTGCAACAAGACAGATATTACAAAAGGTTAATTTCAAAAGAATGACTTAAACTATAAATAGGCAACTTCTTTATTTGTATTAGCTTGTAGTAGAGATTTCTTATGATTATAGAAAGGGTTTTTGCTTTTCTTTACCAAGATGTGAATCAACAAATATGTTACTGCTGTAACTTCACAAAACGAATGCGTTGATACGTGAACGTAAGATCTGTAGTAACATTTGTGTTCAAACTGCAAAGAAAATATGTTGCCTCCAACTGTAAAGACAATATGTTGCCACCAACTGTAAAGAAAATATGTTGCCACCAACTGTATAGAAAATATGTTGCCACCAACTGTAAAGAAAATATGTTGCCAACAACTGTAAAGGAAACATGTTGCCACCAACTGCAAAGAAAACATGTTGCCACCAACTGCAAAGAAAATAAGTTGCCAACAACTGTAAAGAAAACATGTTGCCACAACTGTAAAGAAAACATGTTGCCACTAACTGTAAAGAAAACATGTTACCACCAACTGTAAAGAAAACATGTTGTCACCAACTGCAAAGAAAACATGTTACCACCAACGCAAAGAAAACATGTTGCCACAAACTGTAAAGAAATCATGTTACCACCAACTGTAAAGAAAACATGTTACCACCAACGCAAAGAAAACATGTTGCCACCAACTGTAAAGAAATCATGTTGCCACCAACTGCAAAGAAAACATGTTGCCACCAACTGCAAAGAAGAAAACATGTTGCCACTAACTGCAAAGAAAACATGTTGCCACCAACTGTAAAGAAAACATGTTGCCACCAACTGTAAAGAAGAAAACATGTTGCCACCAACTGCAAAGAAAACATGTTGCCACCAACTGCAAAGAAAACATGTTGCCACTAACTGTAAAGAAAACATGTTGCCACCAACTGCAAAGAAAACATGTTGCCACCAACTGTAAAGAAAACATGTGTGTCTAAAAGCTGCACTTTAAGCTACATATGTCACTGAGCTTGAGTGTCTCAGAGTGCATATATTGTTTACCTGAAATGTATGGCACCGACATAACACACTATGGCCTGGAAAGTTGTTGTGCACCGCCAGCTCTCCCATAAAAGTAAAAGAAGGTTACGGTATTTGACTACAAACCGTCTTGACCTCACCACAAATTAATTATTCAGTCACCGCTATAAAGCGCATCAACACCTTGTGCTCTTGCTAAATACTTTCTAGACCATCTTCACAAGTAGAAAGGATTTACCTCAAAGAACGTCACTAAATCATGTAAGTCAATAACAGGCTCTGTGTACCATGTCCTCCGCTGGGGACGTACAAGCTGTGTTTCAGCAGTCAGACAACAAACATTCTGGATCAAGGAGAGGACGTTGTGTTTGTGGCAAAGGTTGGATGCCACACGACGCTGTTACGAACAAAGTTGTATTGTCATGGGCGTATTCCCCTGTGGGGCGACGGTCACGTTGCGGCGGCGTAAACGTACGCTGTCGGCGTCGATTCAACACAAAACTGCGAACAATGTCTACTGTTTCCGCAGCAGTTACTTCGGCTTG